CTGTGACCAGGACCAGCACCAACCCTGGTGTCCTGCTGTGACCAGGACCAGCAGCAACCCTGGTGTCCTGCTGTGACCAGGACCAGCAGCAACCCTGGTGTCCTGCTGTGACCAGGACCAGCAGCAACCCTGGTGTCCTGCTGTGACCAGGACCAGCACCAACCCTGGTGTCCTGCTGTGACCAGGACCAGCAACAACCCTGGTGTCCTGCTGTGACCAGGACCAGCAACAACCCTGGTGTCCTGCTGTGACCAGGACCAGCAGCAACCCTGGTGTCCTGCTGTGACCAGGACCAGCACCAACCCTGGTGTCCTGCTGTGACCAGGACCAGCAGCAACCCTGGTGTCCTGCTGTGACCAGGACCAGCAGCAACCCTGGTGTCCTGCTGCTGTGACCAGGACCAGCACCAACCCTGGTGTCCTGCTGTGACCAGGACCAGCAGCAACCCTGGTGTCCTGCTGTGTCCAGGACCAGCACCAACCCTGGTGTCCTGCTGTGACCAGGACCAGCAGCAACCCTGGTGTCCTGCTGTGACCAGGACCAGCAGCAACCCTGGTGTCCTGCTGTGACCAGGACCAGCAGCAACCCTGGTGTCCTGCTGTGACCAGGACCAGCAGCAACCCTGGTGTCCTGCTGTGTCCAGGACCAGCAACAACCCTGGTGTCCTGCTGTGACCAGGACCAGCACCAACCCTGGTGTCCTGCTGTGACCAGGACCAGCACCAACCCTGGTGTCCTGCTGTGACCAGGACCAGCAGCAACCCTGGTGTCCTGCTGTGACCAGGACCAGCAGCAACCCTGGTGTCCTGCTGTGACCAGGACCAGCACCAACCCTGGTGTCCTGCTGTGACCAGGACCAGCACCAACCCTGGTGTCCTGCTGTGACCAGGACCAGCACCAACCCTGGTGTCCTGCTGTGACCAGGACCAGCAGCAACCCTGGTGTCCTGCTGTGACCAGGACCAGCACCAACCCTGGTGTCCTGCTGTGACCAGGACCAGCAGCAACCCTGGTGTCCTGCTGTGACCAGGACCAGCAGCAACCCTGGTGTCCTGCTGTGACCAGGACCAGCACCAACCCTGGTGTCCTGCTGTGACCAGGACCAGCAACAACCCTGGTGTCCTGCTGTGACCAGGACCAGCAACAACCCTGGTGTCCTGCTGTGACCAGGACCAGCAGCAACCCTGGTGTCCTGCTGTGACCAGGACCAGCAGCAACCCTGGTGTCCTGCTGTGACCAGGACCAGCAGCAACCCTGGTGTCCTGCTGTGACCAGGACCAGCACCAACCCTGGTGTCCTGCTTTGACCAGGACCAGCACCAACCCTGGTGTCCTGCTGTTGCGACGACACTAGGGTTTGGGACGGGACAAACAGAGCCTTATGCTGCGTTCAGACCAAACGCGATTTGGGCGGCGAAATCGCCCGTGCCGCGCGTGCCGCAATGCTTGTGCTTTTTGACTCCAGACGCTGGACCAAACACTCGGCCGCGCGGCACGCGCGGCCGAGTGTTTGGTCACTTGGTCACCAAAGGACCAAGTGACCTTTGAAAACCCGTGTCAGGGAAGAGTTTGGGCTGTGAGTGATGCAGAGGCACATGTTCATTGTTTTTGTTTTTTATTGACCAGATAAAAGAACGCCTCGTAAGCTTGTCTCTCGTGTGTTCCTCCGAACCACACAATCAAGTAAACACAACGCAGAGCGGAGAAAATCAGACCCGTTACACTTACCAGTGTACACTTACCAGTATAACGAGCGGAGAAAATCAGACCCGTTACACTTACCAGTGTACACTTACCAGTATAACGAGCGGAGAAAATCAGACCCGTTACACTTACCAGTGTACACTTACCAGTGTAACGAGTGGAGAAAATCAGACCCGTTACACTTACCAGTGTAACGGGTCTGATTTTCTCCGCTCTGCGTTGTGTTTACTTGATTGTGTGGTTCGGAGGAACACACGAGAGACAAGCTTACGAGGCGTTCTTTTATCTGGTCAATAAAAAACAAAAACAATGAACATGTGCCTCTGCATCACTCACAGCCCAAACTCTTCCCTGACACGGGTTTTCAAAGGGCGCAATATACATACCTGGTCAATAAAAAACAAAAACAATGAACATGTGCCTCTGCATGTTTGGGAGTGTTTGGTCACTTGGTCTCTGTTGGAGAAAGCTCCTGATTGGTCGACGCTCGCGATCTGAGCGAAAAAGTTCAACAATGTTCAACTCCAGCGTCGGCCGCTCACATCGCGTCCACCGCTCACATCGCTCAAAACGCTTGAAGACTCGCCGCGCGTGCCGGTCGTGCCGCGCCGCTTGATCGCTCGCCGCTCCCTGAAGCGCGTCCCCCATGTATTGTCAATGTAATCCTGACGCTCTCGCCGCCCAAATCGCGTTTGGTCTGAACGCGGCACTAGAGAGATCCATTCCAAACATTCTGTTTCATGGCTCAGTCCTGCATCTATACCTGCCTCGGTCCTCATTTTTGAGGACCGAGGCAGCAGGGTCTAAGGACAGAGGTGATGATCCAGGACACTCCACCTTCAAAGACATTTCTGGACATGTATCATCAGACCTGTATGAACCAATGGCTGTGTGTTTTTCATCATTGCATTTGTTTCTCTGATCTGTGCTGGCGAATCCACAGCTTCCTCTGAGGCCCCGTTTACACGGAGACGCTGCAGCAGTAAAACTCTATAGTTGGATGTCGGGAACTACCCCCGTTCATACGGAGACTGTTCCTCTGCCCCCTACTGGCCGGGCGCTAGAACTACATCGTTTTTGATCCTCGCATGAACGCTGTGAAATTTGCACAAGGAGCCTGGTCGTTTCTGTTTATACCAACGTCTGTGCAGCGCCTCCGTATAAACTGGGCCTGAGATAACTACTGTTGTGATTTAAGTCAATACAGAAATAAACATACATTGGACACATTCTTTGTCTCTTATATTCATGTAAACTGCCTTATTGATCTAAAACTGCCAAACAATAGCTACAACCACCTCATAACATTACAATAGCACATCATTCAAAACATGATGTGACACATAAGCCAGAACTGACCAATCACGATTAAAGGTGCGGTACTAAACTATAAACTCATACAACTCACTGAATACTTTCCAATAGCTTAAACTTCAGAACATACACAAGCCAATGGGAAACAGGTGATTCTCCAAACTAAAGTCTTTGTGAGTGGATGGTTTAGTGGGCAGAGCAAATGTTGAAAGCTGATGCCTTTGAGAGAGACCAGGGGGCAGCTGCCGTGAGTCCAGTTTGGCTCCTGTCCGGGCTCATGCGTGTGGACACGACCATACAATATAAATCAGAGAAAGCGGACGACTGTGGGAATCTATTTATGAACGTGTGACCCGTCTAATGACCCGTCTAATGACCCGTCTAATGACCCGTCTAATGACCCACACCCACAGAGCCCCATGTCATGCTCCGGGCTCGACACAAACAGAAAATGTACTTATTTCTAAGACTTTTTATAAAGCCAGATATCTGTTCTGTCTACTCTTTACACTCTAAAATGACTAGTAACAAGTTTTTAGTTGGGTAGCCATGCTTCTAAGTGAATTGACAGTGGTTTGCCACGCTTCTAAATTCCGAAAACCATTCAAAAGTCTTTTTTAGAGACATATTTCTGTTTAAAATAACATTTCTGCATCAGTGTTTGAAGGCAATGCTTAAAGGTCTGTAGTGTGACTTAAAGGGGCAGTATGTAACATGCACTCTGATGGGTCGTTGCCAGAATCTTCCAGCCTGAGATAAATGCACCTGTAGCTTCAAACTGATTACTGATGCAATCCACCTCCTGGAGTTTAGCCAGAAACGGTACAAACTGTGTGCTACATCTGACTGACTGGATAATCAGCTTGAACATACATCTTTCAGTTGTATTTTTGATGAAAATACTATTTTGTTCAGAAAAGGTCAAATATGATTATTACACATGTGTTATCTGAGGACGCAGAATTCAAAATAAAATCTCACATACGGTTCATTTAAGTATCAATATTTTTACTTTTCTGGTAACTAAACTAAAAGCTCAGCTCTTTTGAAACGATTTGAAGAGAACATGTGCCTAAACTCTGGCAGCTTTCCTTCCATACTATCAATTAGCCAAAGTAAATAACCCTGCTTTAATCCACATTTAATCCTAAATTACCCCGTTTACTGCTCACATGATGCCAGGGGTTAAAATAATAGTTTGTGACGTTTAAATCTGCCCTTTTCTAAATTCTCTTGTCAACGATTGAGCCAGCACCGTTTTGTGGCGGCTGCATTCTTCCACGACTCGACTTCACTTCCAAACTGTTGAATCTAAAAGGAAAAGTCAGTTCCAGATACAGACTAACATTTTACAAAGGAGCAGCTCAGGCATGAAACAAGGGAGGGATTAGGAATAATATATATATTTATATATATATATAGAATCAAATGGAAACGAAAGACTCAAAGCTGTGTTTTATTAAGATGTTTGCTCCGTTACATTTACAGACAGAACACGGCCTTCCTAGAACTTTGTTTTGTCTTATTGTCTGCCGTTTATTCTCCTGTATTTCCTTTGGATATCTTTTTTTCCTTAATGTGGACTGTGCAGCGCTTTGTAAAAACTGTTTTGGAAAAGTGCTACAAATACAGATTCATCATCATCATTATTATTATTATTATTATTATCATGATCATCATCATTATTATCATTATGACACATCTGCTGATTCAAACAGCACATATTAGAGGTAAATATGAAAACCATTATCTGCTCCACTTTGTCTGAACTGGATTCATTGAACATTCTGGACCACATTTCAGTGTTGCGTCAGCGGTTACAGAACAGCAGTATGTTTACATTAGCAGCCTGAGGGTCTAGAACAAAGTGACTCAGTGATACATGTGGTTCTGCACATTCAGACATTTTAACACTTTTATTGCGGTTGTTTGATCCGTGTGATGACATGTGCCCTGCCACTTGTGAACCACAATAAACATGTTGAATGTGTGGCCCTCGGAGACTCCAGTGGCCCTCGGAGCACAACGCTTTGGTTGTGGAACAGGAGCTGGAGCAGCTGACGCCCAGCATCAGTGAAGTCAGAGCCCAGCAGCAGCTGAGGGACCGGTCACCTCCCTCTGCATCACATGAGCGCTGCCTGCCCACTGCCTACAACAATATTAGCCTGTGTCTCTGTGTTAGCCTGTGTCTCTGTGTTAGCCTGTGTCTCTGTGTTAGCCTGTGTCTCTGTGTTAGCCTGTGTCTCTGTGTTAGCCTGTGTCTCTGTTACAGTAGAGCGATGGGAGGATAACGGCTCAGCTGTGAGGACGCCCTGTGTCAACCCAAACTATCTCCTAGATCTACGTCTCGCATCACCAACCTCATGTTATACACTAAAACTCTAACTCTTCAAACCATCCAATACTCCAATACATCGCATCCATAACATTACATACAGTATAACTCAATACTTGCTTCTTTAATACGCTAAAGTTGAGATTATATTTCATTTTAGTGTAAAGTTATTTCCCACTTATCTCTTACTGTGTACTCCTCATTCCTAAAACAAAAACAAATCTAGCTACATAGATACATACATAGCTACACTACATACAAGGAACGTAACTGTAGTTCTTTTACTCGTCAAAACAACATTATACAAAATTATAATGATATATCAGTTTATATGATTACAATATACCCAATCCAATATGAGTGATCTAATATCTCAGAGCATTTTTCAACCCCTTACATCATATTAGCTCCCATTACAATGAGCTTATCTCTGAAAGGAGAGATCATTTAGAATAACAGGAGAGGGGAGGATTAGCATTTAGGGAAACTCTGCAGTGACATCACAGCCAGTGACATCACAGCCAGTGACATCACAGCCAGTGACATCACAGCCAGCAGCAAATGGAGCAGAGTGGTGTGTTGAAGGTAAACTGGTAAACGCCGTACATCATCCTTCACTGACACCACACTCTACTGCAGTCTCAGCTATAGCTTCTCAGGACGTAATGCTAATTTGAAGTGTGGAATAGCCTGATAGAGGAAGACTGTGGGGGATAGAAGTGATGTTTTTACTGTGAGTGAAGGCGACACCAGCTCCACTTAAGTGTGTTAGGGTTTACTGCTGCCATGGATGCCGCATAAAACATCCTTTCGCCAGCAAATGATGAACCAACCACTGGAATGTCTGCCTCTCTGACAGCAGGCTGACGTAGTGGGCAAAGCATGCAAACTCTGCTCCAGCTGAATCACCCAGCTCGGTTCGTTTTAAAGGACCGTGTAAGTGCATTGTGGGTTAAAGCATGTCTCCCATAATAGAGCAATATTACCAGGTAGATATTACTCAAAGAAAAAGAAAACAAGCTTACTACTTATGAAGTGGCGGATGCTCCTCTTAAGTCAAAAGCAAAATAGCTCCATCACTTTCTTGTATACCATGCCCAAGACAGTCCTAGATCTGCAGTGTTGGAACTCAGTCAGTACTGCTACAGCCCACCCCTGCCGCTTGTTTCTCCCAAGGTCAGCAAGCAAGCCAGCGGGCAGAGAGGACCACTCAACTCCTCCCACACCGGACAGATTCGCTCCACAGCTCATTTAAAGAGCACTTACCTTCTTCTCCTTCGACTCGGGGCGAGGGCTATAGGCACAGGGCAGTAAGTCCCGACGTGATCCAGATTAACTTGTGTCTTGTTGTGGTCCCATATAGGCTGCTGTACCTGAGACACAGACAGGATTATTGCAGTTGGGGAGGTGGGTTGAGACCGCACAGGGCGAGCAAGCCAGCCGGGATGGCACGGTTAAGCCCCTGTAGAAGAGATCAGAGGAGCATGTCAGGAATGGAATTAATACATGTTCACACTAGTCCCACACTAGTCCTGCTCAGAAAGTGCGCTATCATTTATAATAGACTTAGCAAATGTTGTGGGATAGAAGTGCAGCTCCTGAGGAAGGAAGTTGTGGAGATTTTCTGCACATTTAGCTGCATTGCAGCCCACTGGCTTTAGATCCGGTGATTGGATTAGAGGGGGCCGCCTGCGGTGGATGGATGCACAACTGAGGACATGTTTTTAAATGGTTGGTTTGTAACGTTTAAGGGAGGATGCCCACTTTTTGGAACCGGAATTTTAAAAAACAGAATTGTTTTTATTGTAGTTGTAAGTAACAAGAGGTCACAAAAAAGGAAATTTCTGTGGAATATGGAGCAAATAAGTTGTGAAAAAGTGAACCCTAGATGTAAAGGAATGCATACAAAATCTTAATACATTTCTAATACACACAATTATATATATATATATATATATATATATATAGAATATAGTGTGCAGAGGTATGATTATGTAGAGTGACAGAAGTGTGTTGATTGTAATGGCAGACATACATTTTAAAAGTTTATTTGCTTTATATTGTTGCTATTGTTCTTCTGATAATAACGGCAGTCACACCAACAAACACCTTGCCAAAACCAGAAATGACATGTCTTTTGTTACTTTGCATAGAAAGCTAGGGTTGCATAATAACTCGTAGAAGTAATCTCACTACTACTTTTAACCATGTATGTACAGTGTCCTTGGTTGTTTTGAATGGTGCCTTTAAATAAAATCTATTATTATCATTGTTATTATAGCCTACAAACCCCTTTTTTCAACTATTTCTGATAATAGATTAATCGTTGACAAGTGTATGAGCATAAAAGTGTGATTTTAGGAACAAAATTATGTGTGTTTTTACACATAGCATATCAACGTTCTGAACAGCTCAAATCGATTATTCGAAAGCACTATTCAATTACTCGTATGTAAAATCAAAATAATCTTCAGTTGCAGTCTGTATTATTATTAACAGTTCCACACGTGCTGCAGACTGATCAACGTAAACTTATGTCGTAAATCTATTTTTGTAAATGAATTTTCTCACGTCTTCCTCGTGGTGTCGTGTGGCTGTCGGAGAAAAACGTGAAAAAACTTACCATTCGTTCCAGGAAGACACAATAAGAATAATACTCATTTTTTACGTAGGCTTATGGGACTTTTTCGCGTACGAAATGAATCTAACTGATGTGTCTTGTCTTGTCAGCCACATCCAGCTCGGTTTCTTCTCAAAGGGTTCATTTTGCTGTTACGTACTGACCCCCAGTGGTTATAAACGGCAATTACAACACAAAAGGCATATTTTTTTTTTTCTGTTTTTTATTAAATTATCTTCAATTTTTGAAATGTGAGGAATTAAAACTTAACGTATAACTGTGAGGAATTATAACTTAACTTTTAACTCCCAGAGCAGTTACCATAGCAACACAGTTTTTTTGTCAGCAGTTAGCATGCGTTAGCCTTTCAACAAACCACCAGTTTGGCGCTTGGGAAGAAAATAAATAATTAAATAAAACTTTATAGATTACCTACTTTATTATAACGGGTGAAAAAATAAATGTTTCTAGGAGGATGTTTTTCAGAATTCCATTGGATTTAATGTCATTTGTTTCTTTATTATTTAAAAAAAAGAATGTAATTATGATTATATAGACTATGCAAAAAACAGGAAGGACCAGCCAACACTTCAAAACAAAAAAAATAAACAATCTAGGGAGTTAAAAATGTCAGATACGATCGAGTGGATTAAACTGAAAAAACATACCATATTGTAATAGTTCTGTGTTATCGGTTTACTACCACAGGGGGGCGCTCGGGTTATGAGAGAGTGTTCCAGACTGAGGTGAGGGGTTTCCCCACGAGTTGACACGACGGTAGTGTGTGTTGTAAATGTGTGAGTTAGGCGTGAGCTGTGGCTAACAGCAGCTTGTTCGGTCACCTTGTCCAATAAAAGCATCTTGAAGAGCACTGTTGGAGCATTCCTTACCTGGGAGTATTACAATATGGAAATGAGTGGGATGTAGTTACAGCTCCTGACCAGGAGGTGGAGACATGTTCAGACTCAGCATCTGTCCTGGAATCTTTGGAGAGTGGTGGAGCTAATGCCAGGCCTGACCTCATCGCAGAGCTGCTGGCTGTCTTGTTCAGAGTGGAGAGAGCTGGGGGGAGAGTAGGATCGCATGTGGGGGTGTATGGGAATGAGACCGCTGACTGCAAAATGGGCGTTGAAGAGGGAGATAGAAGTCAGTGTAGTCCCAGGAGTGCTTGAATGTAAGTCAACTATTAAGAGGTACACCTCAGCTGTCTGGCAGAAAATGTGGGAAAGCGACCTTAGGGCGGCACGGTGGCTGAGTGGATAGCACTCTCGCCTCTCAGCAAGAAGGTCCTGGGTTCGAATCCCGGTTGGACCAGGGCCTTTCTGAGTGGAGTTTGCATGTTCTCCCCGTGTCAGCGTAGGTTTCCTCCGGGTGCTCCGGTTTCCCCTACCACTAAAAATATGTACAATAGGTATGGCATGTGCCTCCTGTACTGGCGACCCCGCCCAACAATTGTAAACCGCTTTGAGACTCTGATGTGCAGTGAAAAGGCGGTATATAAATAAAAGCTTACTAGCTTACTTACTTAGGGGTCGCCATTACTTTGGTGCGTGCGTGCGTGTCTCTCTGTCTATATAGTGTAATCTTGTTGTGTGTGATATTTTGTGAAGCACTCTCCTTTGTGTAAGGGGACACCACATGCCTTGCACCACATCCTGGTCTCACTGCGCAGGCCTTTGCGCATGCAGACCCTGCATCTCCTCGAGGGTCTGGTCTTCGAGCCGGAGGACAGCAGGTACTCCACCTTGTGCCTGGCACCCTCATCGAGCCTGCTCTCTGGATCAGTGTTATATGGAGCCCTGGGGTTTTGTGGTGCTCCTTCCTCCACACATGCAACGATCGACTGGTTCTCCTCGTTGTGGTCCTCCTCGTCCTCCTTGTCCTCAATGTCCTTGATGTCCTCCTCGTCCTCGATGTCCTCCTTGTCCTCGATGTCCTCCTTGTCCTCATCCTGGACCTTCAATGTCCAGGACCTCATGACCCCCTGCATAAATTCCAAGAGGGTTTTGTATTCCCGGTTCCCGTTCCTGGCTCTGTAGAGAGTGTAGGCATTGTACATTGCGATTTGGAACAGGTAAGCGACACATTTTTTGGTCCAGTTCAGAGACTTCCGGACGAACGGGTAGTATTTAATGTTCTGATCCAATCGATCCACGCCATTCATGGAGGAGTTATAGGCATCGACACACTCCGGTTTTAGGACAGACACCTTCTCCCTCTGTCCTCGCTGCCAAACGTCGACACTAGTCATGTTGTCATGGTGACATGTTGTCAACATCTTGACAATCCGTTTGTCCTGCCACACCACAACCATGACCTTCCCATTGTTCACCGCGACTCTCCCCCCCACACTCAGCTCAGTCTTGGTCACGTCCCTAATGCTCTCAGGCTCTCCCCGGTTCTTCCTTAGCGTCCCACACACATTTGTTTTTACTGCCATCAACTGCTCAGACAATGCCACAGAATTGTAATAATTGTCCATAAACAGAGTGTGGCCGGCACCTGGGAGACGGTCAAGGAGAGAAAAAACAATGTCAGGGATCGTGCGGGGCTCACCAACATAGGGCTGCAGGTTAAAGCAGTAGCCGGTGGCAGAGTCGCAGAGCACATAGGACTTGATTCCATACTTTATGGGCTTCTGTGGGTTGTAGACCTTGAAGGCCAGCCGTCCTCTCCAGAGCAACATCCCCTCATCTATGCAAATATTCTGCCCGGGTTGGAACATTACCTTGAATTTATTGATCAGGTAGTCGTAGACGGGGCGAACCTTGTATAACCTGTCAGTTACATCAATTGCAGAGTTGTCATTGTAATGGAGGAACCTCCATATGAGTTGGAACCGGTTCCTGGACATTATTTTAGTGAAGAACGGGGTCACAAACATCTCATCCACATTCCAATACATTGCCAGGGTTGGCTTGTGGATAACACCAGTGAGGAAAGACAATGCAAAGAACTTTTTTAGCTCTGGAATGGTCACTGGTCTCCATGCATGCTTTCTGCTGTGTTGCGGAATCTCTGGGTTTGCCAGGAAATGCTGCTGAGCATAGAGGTTGGTCTGCTCTGTGATGTGCTGGAGCAGCTCGTCCGTGAGGAACAGCTCCAGGAAGTCACCCGGCGAGGTGGACTCCAGCTCTGCTGCCGCGTTCAGGGGACCAGGCGTTGCAGTGAAGGGGAACACAGTGGGTTTCCATCCGGATTTCCGCCAGGTGCCGCCTTTACCCTTTGCAACTGTAATAAATTATGGAAATGTATACAATAAATAGGAATCAAATAGAGCTCGTTTTATTGATTTGATGTGATGTAGAGAAAGATATTCCTACCTCTTTTCTTCACACCTGTATTTGCAGGACTCACGCTGGCAGCGCCTCTGCTCAATGTAGCGCCTGTATAGAATTGTACAATAACTCATCTATCCATATACACACATATCCAAATACATATACATCTACAGACGCACATATCCAAAGACACACAGACACACACGCACAGAGACACACGCACACACACACACTACACATACATATTATACACATACATATACACACACACATGCATATATACATACATATATGAGTATTTTATTTACCTGTAGGCCTCCTTTTACCAGCATTAGTACTCCTGGATTGGCCCAGCACTCTGCTTACTAGAAATACACACAAATACAATCATGAGAATTATACAAGAATACTTT